GTTTTCTTCCACTTTTTCTTCCTTTCTTCCCTCCTTTTTTCCCCTCTGTATATTTCTATTTATTTCTTCCTTTCTCTTCTCCCACCGTAGGAGCTTTCCTGCCAACATTGTTAAGGGGAAACCACCGCCGTTAATTTAGCGACGTGGTTATTAAGCGAATCTGGTTCTTGGCTCGTTAGAAAAGTGGTTCACGGGATATTGCAACCGTCATAACTGCGAGTCAGTTGCCTGAATGTCAACCGCGTGAGCATGGGGATGCTGCAAAAGTTGTTAAGTGTGGGAAATGGTCCTAAATAGCAGAGTTGGAGGGGACCTCGTAAGGTCATCTAGTCCAACCCCCCCCCCGTCCCCCCCCACTGGCCAAGCAGGAGACCCTAACACCATTTCTGACAGAGACTGGCAGTCCAGTCTCTTCTCGAAAGCTTTGGCCCAGATTTAACAGAAGAACAGAGTCCCATTGAATATAGAATAACAAGAGTTGGAAGGGACCTCTGAGGTCATCTAGCCCAACCCCCCCTCCAACTTCCAAAGGCAACTTCCGTTCCGTGGGTCGATTGTTCTCCCTGTCAGAAAATTCCTCCTTATTTCTAGGTTGAATCTCTCCTTTTGGTCAGTTTCCACTTTCCATTCTTCCTTCTCTGGCCTTGGAAAATAGTGCTATTATAACTTTGGTCATTAAATGAACGGACGGAAGTCGAGGAATACCTGTTACAGGAACTTCCCAGGCCCTCCCACACCCTCTTGCGCTACTCACTCATGTCAAAGAGATCTCTCTGGACGCTCCCGTTGGAGGTCGCGTTCTGGCTGCCCGGCTGCAATTTTTCCAAATTTTGCACATTCACGTAGGATGGGTCCACCACGAATTCGGTGCGGCCAGGGGGGCCCCGATCCCTGCCTGCAAAGGGAGGGGGAGGAAACAAGATGGGATAAGAAACCCCCTCCCCACAATTACAAAGCGCCAGCTTGTGAAAACCGCCTCTGAAAACCTCCCAGAATCTCCCCCCCAGGCGAGATTTAACTTAAAGGCGCACAAATTCATTGCTGCGTCACCTACCTTGTGTGACTGGATGTGGCTTCTTGGACTCGTAGTCCCCAGCAACCATCTGTCCGACGGGCTATGGGAAGGAAGGAGGTTTAATTGAAGGTTCAAATGAATATTTTAAGTCCCGTTTTTCCCGCAGCTTAATATTCCTGCAATCATCGTCTTTTAACGATGAGCAACTGAATGGAGCTGAATGTTTCCTGGCCAGATGCCTTTCTTGTTGCCAATGAGGAGTTTTCTTCAGCAGATATATATATATATACTGTATATATGCATATATACGTCTGCATCGTGCATAATTGTCAGTGGGGGGAGCTTACCAAGGTGGCCCCCAAATTGTTGGGGGTCTGAGCCACTGCAGCCCCTTCCCGCAAACGCAGGTCAACGACCCCTCCTATAGGAGGTTCCTTTCCCGGAAAATCGTTGTAATATTGGTGGTCCGGAGGCGGCGGCTCTTCCTCTTCGTCCCAAGCGGAGCCGTCGAACCCGGCCATCCTGGTCAGGAGTGGTGAGAGAACGATATCAGGAATACAGATGGTGGCCCTTGTCTTACGACCAAAACAGAACCCCCAAAATTAACGTTAAGTGAAACACGTCAGTGAACTTTGCCCAGGACCTGTCTTACCACAATTATTAAGTGAATAATAACTTTATTCCTCAACTTACAACAACGGAGCCCAAAATGTAGTCCTTGACTTATGACCCCAATGGAAGTCCTCAACTTACGAACACAACGGAACCCAAAACATATGTTGCTAAATGAGACAGTTGTTAAGTGAATTTTGCCCCAGACCTGTCTTGCCAATTATTAAGTGAATATAGGTAGTCCTCGACTTACGACAACATAACCCAAAACGTATGTTGCTAAGCGAGACGCCCAAGTGAATTTTGCACAAGACCTGTCTTACCACAGTTATCAAGTCAATATAGGCAGTTCTCGACTTACGATCAGCATGGAACACGAAATGTATGTGGCTAAGCGGGACACATTACGTGAATTTTGCCTCATGTCCTTCCTCGCCGAAGTTAAGTGAATTACCTCAGTTTTTAAGGTTGTTCAGCAAATCTGGCTCCCCCACCCCCACCCTGTTGACTTGGGCTCGTCCGACGGTCGTAAAAGGGGATGCCGCGACATCCCGGGGTCGTAAATACGAGTTGCCAAGCATCTGATTACGTGACCACGGGTCGGAATCCGACAGTTGTAAGTGGGGAAAAAAACAGCCCAAAGTTCATTTTTTTCCAGTGCCGTTGCGATTTCGGACGGACACTAAAACTGTGGTAAGTCGAGGAGCACCTTCACACATAAACCTCCCCCCCTCCCCTCCCCGGGCCACGGGTTCAAATCCTGCTTGTGCCCTACCTGTCGTGGGGCGTGACGAGTTTCGGAGGATTCTTAAGGTATTGCTTGAAACGCAATTCGAATGCTTGTCCGATGGTGCTGATGACATCTTGGGACAAACCTTCGGGGCACTCCAGGATGTGGCAAGCTGCAAAGAGACCCCCAAAGAAAAAGGGGGGGGGTGGCCTTGATTGATCGATTATTGATTATTGATCATTATTATTACGGATTCTTTGAACATCAGGTGCCTACGGAGGGGGGAAAATAACCCCGTCACGTCCTACAGGCAATCCTCGGCTTTACGACAATGGAGCCTGAAAATTGTTCAAGTAAACTTTGCCCCGTTTTACGACCTTCCTTGCGATCCGTCGTTAAGCGAATCGCTGCAGGTGTTCCGATAGAAACACGGTTGTTAAAGGGAAATCCGGATTTCCCCCGTTGACGTTGCTTGCCGGAAGGTCGCAAAAGGAGAAACACCACAACCGGCGTAAACGTGAGCCCGTTCCCAATTCGGATCCCGCTGTCCGCGGGAGAGGTGACAACGGTCGCTAAGTGTGAACAGCGGCCCCGGGTTCCTTTTATTCGGCGACGTTGTCATTTCGAGCGGTCGCTACGTGAACCGGTAAGGCCATCGTGTTTCCAAGCCGAATTGATTAACGATTAAACAGGCTACAGGAAAAGAAGCCAGGATCAAGCCAGGATTGGAAGATCCAAGCCAAGATGCCGGGGAAAAACCTACCTCGGTGATTGACGGGGTCTTTGGCAACGTAAGCGACGTATTCCGCCGTATCCTAGGGGGAAAAAAAAAGCAAAATAAGTTGAACACCTAATTTAGGGAAAGGATTAAAAAAATTGCACACAGTTGTACAAAAAATAATACCCGGATTTTTGGAAGTGCCAGCTTACTATCGCTGTGAAAATCAACAACAGGGAGTCCTTGGGTTGATGACCGTTCATTTAGCGACCGTTCGTGGCTACAACAGCCCTGAAAAATGTGACTAACGACCGTGATTCACCCTTATGACCGTTGCCGTAGCCCCGTGATCAAAATTCAGACATTCAAACTAACTTGGATTTATGTCCTGGGGGTGTGTGTGTGTCACATGGCCCACTTTAACGACTGTCTGACGAGCCAGATTCACTTAACAACCGTGTGACCCATTTAACAACTGCCCTGATTTCCTTAACAACTTAAGAGAGGTCGCAAAACAGGGCAAAAGTCACTTTCACGACGCTCTCCGCTTAGCACGAGAAATTTTAGGTTCCATTCCGCTCGTAAATCGAGGACTGCCTGCCGATGAAGAATAAACCCCAGATTAATCCGCAATTTGAAGGCTGAACTTCCGTTCCTTCATCCTCAATTAATCTTAATTAATTACGGAAACATTATTTGTTTTTGCACCTAATACAAAGAGGATGATCAGAGTGGTGTAGTAGCCTCACAACCAGGAGGCTGGAGCAGGAGTTCGATCCTCGGTAGAGGCAGATTCTTTCCTCTCTGGGCAGAATGAGAATATATCTGCCGAACAAAACTCCCCTCTGGCGACAGGAAAGGCAACTGGCCATGAAATACTCTTCTAGCTTCATTCAGTTGCCCGGATTCCACCCCACAAGGATTATGGCGTCGTTAAAAGAGGATGACAAAGGGGATGACCAGAAATACACCGGGGCCTTGACAGAGAGGATGGAGGGAGGAAAAACAAGCTGGCAGGAGATCAATTTTAATCCACCGGGATTCTCACACCAGGGGAAACACCGGTGGAATCCTTTGATCTGAGGGAGCGCCCAAAATCCTTCGTTATTTTATGCTCGCTTCAAATAATGGCGGGATCAAGTGTAGGATTTGGGGGGGTGAGGGATAAGACTTTGGGGGGTGGGGGGAAATATCACGATACTCACCGGATCCCCTCCAGAAGCGAATGAGATCGATTGCATATGGTGATTGGCGATGATCTATAAATCGAAAGGAGAATAAAACTGAGAANCCACCCACCCACCCACCCACCTAACCTACCTACCTTACTAACCAACCATAGAAACATGGGTAAATATACTTAGGCCTAAGACACTACTGCGAGGACTGCTGTTAGGTGGGTTATGAGTGCAAAACCTGCCCCCACGGAGCCATTGGGATGCTTTTCACCATTGTGACAAGTGGCAGCAGCCCCAATGCTTGGGTGTGGCCTATATATATCTTTATATATATATATATGTATTATACATTATAACTATTTCTTTTAAAAATGACCTTCCAGGACCATGAAAGCTCCCTTTCTTTCAAGTCAGCCTTCCTACCTCGCAGGGTTGTGGTTGCAGGGGGGGGATTTTGGTTGGAGGGGGGAACCCTACCTGGTAGGGTAGGGGTTATTTTGGAGGGGGAGGGGCTTAAATCCGCCCCCCCTTGCAATGAGCAGCACCAGCCCGTATGGGAAGGGGGCTCCCTGGCAGGGGGACGGACCACAATGCCCATCATCCACTTTCCCGGTTGAATTTCCGCCTGCCCGAGTAAGAGAGCTCCCCCTCCCGCCCCCCAGTCAGGTGGGGCCCCGTCTCCCTAGCAACGCCGTCTCCGGTCTCCATGGCAACCACCACCACCACCCCTTCCCGCTCCTCCCTTACCGGCCTTGCCCTGCTTGCGGCCTGGACCCGTGGCGAGGCTCCCCGGCGGAGGAGGCAGCGGCGGCGGAGGAGGAGGCGGACCCGGAGCAGGCGGAGCGAGGCCTACTCCCCCCTCCAGCTTGTCGGGGTGCGGGGCCGCCATAAGAAGTAAAGCGGGCGCAGGGCGAGGCGGCTACGAGGGGCCCCGAGGCCCAGGCCGCGCCATCGCGACGCGAGCCGGAAGCGGAAGCTGATAGAAAAGACGGGAGGGGAAAAGGGGGAGGGGGAAGAAACACTCGCTTCCGGTTCCGGGCGATATGTTGCAGGCGGCTTACCAGTCCGGCTGTTCTGGGCGTCGGCCTCACGTCTTTCTCTATGGTTCGAGAGTATTAAAAAAAAGGCGCCTTTCAGAAGGATGGAGCGGGAACGCCGGTGACGTCACTAGCCGGCGCTGTTTTGTGTCCGATGTTGATGACGTTGCTGAATTAGAAGCTCATGGCAGGAATAAATAAACATATTCAACCATCTTGAGTCTCTAGTGGTTCTTTTTCTTTTCCTCCTTCCTTTTTTTCTTCCTTCCTTTCTGTTTTCCTCCTCCCTTCTTTTTTCCTTTCTTCCCCTTTCTTTTCTTCCTTTTCTTTTTGTTTTCTTCCTTTTTCCTTCTCTTCTTCCCTTTCTTTTTCTTCCTTCTTTCCTTCCTTCCTTTTTTCTTCCTTCCTTCCTTCCTTTCTCCTCCTTTTTTCCTTTCTTCCCTTTTCTTCCTTTTTTTGTTTTCTTCCACTTTTTCTTCCTTTCTTCCCTCCTTTTTCTTTTTCTCTGTATATTTCTATTTATTTCTTCCTTTCTCTTCTCCCACCATTCTTCCTTTTTTACTTCTTTCTCATTCCCTTCCTTTATCTTTCTTCTTCATTTTCTCCTTTGCTTTTCCCTTCCTTCTCCCTCTCATTTCCTTGTATCTACTTCCCTCCCTCCATTTATTCCTTCCCTCCTTTTCCTTTCCCTTCCTTCTCTCTCTCTTTCTGTTCCTTTTCAGTCCTTTTCTCCTCTTTCCTATCTCTTCCCTCCTCCTTTTCTTTCCTTCCTTTCTTTTCTGTATATTTCTATTTATTTCTTCCTTTCTCTCCTCCCATCATTCTTCCTTTTTTACTTCTTTCTCATTCCCTTTCTTTCTTTATCTTTCTTCATTTTCTCCTTTGCTTTTCCCTTCCTTCTACCTCTCATTTCTCCTTTCTTCCTTGTATCCACTTCCCCTCCCTTCATTTATTCCTTCCCTCCTTTTCCTTTCCCTTTCCCTTCCCCCTCTCTCTCTTTCTGTTCCTTCTTTCAATCTTTTTCTCCTCTTTCCTATCTTTTCCCTCTTCCTTTTCTTTCTTCCCTTCCTTCTCTTTCTCCCTCCCCAAAGAGAGAGAGAGAAAAAAAGGCACCCAGGAGCCACACGCTAAAGAAATACCAACCTTTAATAATAACTATTTGATTTCCTTTGGTATAATCAGGAGAAAATCAAACCGATACAAAGTGTGTATAAAGGACGTGGAGAGGAGGGGCTGAGGTGGGCTTGGGGGGGGAGAGGGCAGGTGTCCCACAGAGTAGCGGGGACAGGCACAGTGATAAGAGAGTAAAGCTACACATTGGCCTCAGATTATAGCAACATACATGCAACACCAACTTATCAAACTTATGTACAGAAACTGGGAAGGAAACCAGCTTCAGTGCTGGAAGACAAACCCATTTTTCCCCCTTTTCATCCTTTTTGTGGGGGAACCTCCCTTCAGTTTTGGGGCTGTCTTCTTGGAAACTATCCCAAAATTCAGGGGAAACGTTCCTTAACCCTGAGAGGGGTGCTTTTGTGGGTGGGGGAAAAAAAGAAGGGGATAAATTATGGGGCAGCTGTGACGGATCAGAAGGAGGCGAATGAGAAACGACTTTCTCCATCCTACAACCTTTTCCCCAAACCCCAGGCAGCTCTGTGAGACCCTCCAGAGGAATCTTGCATAAAATCTGACCTGAAAAAGGTTCAAGGCACACACAGAACATATATAAAAATGCGTGAGCTGGGTCGGTGGGCAGCGAAGAGAAAGGATTCTGCCTTCCAGACCCAAACAAGTTGCCCTTTTCTTTCCCTTTTTTTTTTGTGCTTTTAAGCAATAATCTCCCCGGAAAGAAAATCCTTCGCGGGGACTTTGGCATCAGTCGCACCTGGCAGAAGACAGAACGAGGCACTGCGTGTGTGTGGCGCACGCAAGATCCCCCCCCCAATCAATCCCGTTAACAGTTAGCGGAGGAGACAAAAGTTGTCCAAGGCAAGAAGGACTTCCTCTAGAACCGTCAACAAAACCGAAGCGAGACCATTCTCACCGAGGACTAGAAACTTGGCGAGACGGCGCTTGGCTCCAACCAGGAAAAGCTGGCAAGACGTAGAGAGAGGTGGTCTGGGAGGGCACGATGAGTTTTGGTGCTCATCCGAGTCCCCTTCGACCCCAGAAAAAAATGCTTTGGCAGAGGCGACAGCCGATTCGAGCAGCTGTCGGACGAGTCCATCGGGGAGAAAAAAGAGACGCGGAGGAATCGTCCGCTAGAAGGGCGTCGTTTGTAGTGATGCCACTCCGGTGGTCGTGCTCATGCTCTCCGCTCGACGGGCTGCTGTAGGCACAGCTCGCTGCCGGCCGAGATGATGGGCAACCGATTGTCCATATGGTGGCTGATTAGGTGGCTCACGCTTTCGAAGCGGTGATCCTTCGTCCGAACCTGGGATGGGAACAAATCAGTAGATCACCCTTGAATTGCTGCTGCAATCGAGTCCCAAGTTTCTGCCACTAAGCGAGACAACCACTAAGTGAATTGTGCCCTGCTTGATCGCCTTCCTGGCTAAAGGGAATCAGTCACGCGACCCCCTGGAAACTCGACTGTCATAAACATGAGTCGGTTGCCCGGTGTCTGAATTTTGATCACATGACCCTGGGAAGGCTGTGACGGTTGTTAAGTGTGAAAAGCAGTCTCCAGCGCTGTTGTCACTTCGAATGGTCACTAAACGTTCAGACCGAGGCTTCCCAAGAGCAGGAAGCCAACGCCTTGTCCCGGCAAAAGCCCCTTTTATTAATTGACTGTGAATTCTGCTCATTCACATCCAGCAAAGTCTTTCAAGGGAGGATTTACGGTCACAGACCTTATCAGGCTTGGAGAGCTGCCAGNCCTCGGAAGGATGGAAGGCTGAGTCAACCTTTGAGCCGGTGAGATTTGAACCGCTGAACTGCAGATAACAGTCAGCTGAAGTGGCCTGCAGTACTACACTATAACCACTGCGCCACCATTTGTGAATAAATTATGAATAAATTCAGGCCCGGCTTGTTACAGGGGGGGTCCTCAACTTATGACCACAATGGGGCCCTAAGTTTAGGTCGCTAAGCAGGACATTTGCAGATAAATTATATCAATAAATTCAGGCCATTCAGAAGCTGGGATGTTTCAGGGGGTTCTCGACTTACGACAACTATTCGTTTCGTGACCGCTCCGAGTCACAACCGCACTGAAAAATGGGCTCTATGAACAGTCCTCGTACTTACGACCGTTGCAGCACCCCTGCGGTCAAAATTCAGGCACTAGGCAGCTAGCGTGTGTGGTAGTCCTTGACTTATGAACCACAACTAAGCACCACATCTATTTACGTGGCTAAGCGAGACTGTTTCCAGTCACGGCTGTTAAGTGAATCGCCGCAGTGGTTAAGTGAGACACCTGGTCATGAAATGAATCGGGCTTTCCCCCCGTCGACTCGGCTCGTCGGAAGGCCACAAAAGGGGATCGCGTGGCCCCCTTCGTGTGACGCCGCGGCCATCATAAATACGAGTCGGTGGCCAAGCATCCGTGATCCTCGATCACGTAAGCGTGGGAATGCAGCAACGGGCCTCAGTGTGAACAATCCTACGTCGCTTTTTAACAACGTTGCTGGAATCTGGGACACTTTTTGGAGCTGAGTGGCCAGACGCCGTTCCTGTCACCAATGAGGAGTTACATTCGGCAGATCCTATTCTCATCGTGCCCAGAGAGAGACATATATCTGCCTCTTCCTCGGATCGAACTGACATCCTCCGCTCACGAGGCGAGAGAGTGCCGCCTCTAGGCCACTGCACCACTCAAACGGACGCTAAGCGAACTGCCGTCAATCAAGGACTCCCTGTAATTCCCGTGAAACCCACCCCCTTTCCCCCCCCACTGGCAAACTCAATGAGAGGAGGGGGGGGGGATTGGCTTAATGAGATGCAAACATTAAACCAGCCCCTTTCGCTGATGCTAAGAAATCCCAAGGAAGAAAAAACCGCCAATAACACACAATGGGGTGGGGGGGAGAGAATGAGCCCCCTCCCCACTTTTTCGACAGCATCCATTAGCGAGAACTGAGCTAGTCTATTGATCGGCTCTGCGGGGGCTCCAAAAATGTTGATTGATGCCGCCGATTGATTTCTCAGCCAGGGCTAGGCGGTTACAGGTTTCCTATTTAACCGCATCCATCCATTTCCTTCCTGGTGGCTCGGGAGGGGGGGAGGG